ACTCTCCGTTGACGGGGAGTTAGTTGTGCTGAAGGCTACACGCAAGTGACAGGAGTGATGATGGCTGGCCGTGTGCTGCTGGTGTGTGCCCTCTGCGTGCTGTGGTGCGGTGCCGGCGGTAGGTGTAAGGAGGAGGCGGGATCTCCTGCCGGTGGTAAAGGTGCGGTGGGGACTACTGGAGCTTCAGCGTCAGGACAAGACAGCTCAGATCTAAAAAAAGGTTTGCCCAAGGCTAATCAATCAACAGAAACACCTGCAGGAAAATCTTTGGAAGGAAAAGAAGTTAACACTGATCAACTGGTTGTTGTTCCTGGAGTGGAGGATGAAGAAGATGGGAACCCTTCAGAGCAATTAGAAGAACCTGTGGAAGATGGTCCAGATCAAGAAAAAACAAAGCCGCAATTACAAAATAAAGAACAGGAAGTAAGGCAACCGCCAGAATCCCAAGTAAATGTACCACCGCAACCGCAGCCACTACCGCAACAGTCACAAACGCAACTGCAGCTGCAGCCACACACTTCTGCTTCAGAAGAGGGAAAAGGTGTTGTCGAGAACAATAAGGGTGGAGCAGGTCAGTCCTCATTGGGAGTAGAAAATATTGGAAACGAGGATCCAGAGAACCTCGGGAAAGAAGACTCATTAGATGATCCAGGTAAAGAATCAGAAAACAGTGAACAGGTTCAAACGACAGTGCCAAACACAGTAACGCCGGAGCACAAAACCCAAAATGAAATGCTAACTCCGGAACAAAAGACGAATAAAAGCCAAAGCACGGATACATTCACAAACTTACCCGAACTACAAAAGGAAAATAAGGAATATCCTGCCTCTACGGAAGTTACGGCGCAGAGTACATCAACTGGCAGTCAAGAACAAGAAGCTGAGGCACCTACAAGCGAAGAACCTTCCCCTTTTGAGGAGCAGCACTCCACAGGGACGAAGACAAGTGAAGATGCTCGAACTCCGGATGCCGCCGCGACAGAAAAACGCCAAACCGGCGATAAGGAAAAGGTTGGCGACAGTGACGGCATCACCGCTGTCTCCCACACCACCTCCCCTCTTTTGCTTCTTCTTCCTGTTGCGTGTGCGGCTGCTGCTGCGGTGGTGGCCGCGTGAGAGTGAGTGAGAGAGCGCCATGCACCGCCCGCACACACACTCGTCTTTCACTGACTCTCTCTGTGTGTGTCCCCTTGCATGGACTCTCGCCCTCACCTCATCCCACGAAGCACACACATAATGTGCCCATTGTATATATTGCATGCACACCCATGCAGGCCCGTTGGTGCTCTCTTTTGCACGACACGCACCGCTGCCGTCCTGCCTGGCTGCATGGGCGGAGCACCGTAACTGTTTCTGTTTTGTTTTTATTGCATTGAGTGGGCGGCCTCTCTCTCTCTCTCTCCCTGTGTGTGTGTTTTGCTTTACGGGAGCAATGAGAGTGTGTGCGCTGGTCGTCCCACGCTTCGGCTTTTTGTTTTTTTTTTATTGTTTTGTCTTATTGTGTTTGGGTGCACCCATTCCACTTTTCTTTGATTGGCGGCATGCTTTGACTGTGGACGATTTAATCTTCTTTTGATATTCTCATATCGTTTTTTTTTTGTTTTGAAGTGTCAGCCTCTTTTGTCCTTGTGAGGCCACTAAGCTTTTCCTTCGACATACGCTATGCGTCAGTTGGTCCACGTTAACCCGTGGCTTGCAGCGCTGCTGGTGCTGCTTGTGGTGATGCGTGCGAAGTGATTGCTAGCGGATGCTTTGCTGTCACACTGACGCATCCCTGCTTTTTTCCTTCCGATTTGGTGCGTATCGACGGCGCGTGGACGACTCCGGTTGTGGTGAGGGTCGTGCCTCTCACAGCGCAGGATGTGTCGCAGGTGTACGGCGTCGTTTGTAAGAACCGATGGGCGCTTTTCCGCACCAAGACGTCAACAAGGACCCGTGTGAAAGCAGGAGGCACTGCGGCTTCTCCTGGCCTCAGCGATGGGGTCCGCACCTTGTCGCGGTGCCGGGGCTCTGGTTGCGTATAGGAACTCCGCTGCGGTGCGTTGCTGCGAGCACGACGAAGACGAAGACGACTCCACCCCTCGAGAAGGTTCCACGCCATGCCCGGTGTGGGGAGGTGAAGCGGTCTGCCTGCAGACTGTAGGACAAAACTGCACGACCGTTTCGCTGCGGTCACTCCGTTGATATCACCCGTGGCGGTGACGTCCACAAGAACCCTGGCACCGAGGAGGATGGCCACATCAATATTTGGTAGCGTAACATTGCAGGCCTCTCGTTTGTAAAAAAGATTGCGTTTGCTGCGCGATGGGAGCAGCGTCCACCTGACATCTTTCTTTTTCAGGTAATAAATGACCGTAGCGACGTAGCGACAAAAGTTTCTGGCCATAATGACTACCTTCAGGCCTGCACTGGGCGCGGTGGTGGCGTTGCCATTCTGGCGCGCCACTCTCTGCCGTGCGAGTGCCTGTCACTCCCCGGCACTGACCTCCTGGAGACCATTGCTGTCCGTGCATTTCCACCCAGCTGTTCAAGCATGTACGTGGTGAACCTCTGCAGCCTTTCCCGGCAACTGCTCACGCCGCTCACTTTGCGAGCACCATTCGTCGCCCTGTTCCTGCAGAGCCCATCGCGTGCGAAACGAATTCACACGATGAGCTGCGTGACGGTTGCTCACGATCAACAACGGCAGGAGAGGACCTCGCCACCCCAAGCGGCATGGACTCTGAGCTGTCCGGCGACGCGGCACAGGCAACGTGGATCAGCGGCCGCAGCGTCTTGTTTCCCGACGTGACTGCGCAACGCGTACTGCGTGTCTCCCACTGTACGTCCACCCGTTTTGAGTCGGACCACCCTTTGGTATTGTATACTGCAGGGACGGAGGACGGCATCCCGCGACAGGCAGGCATGCTGCCACGACGGAAACATGCTGCCGTTGTCCTGCGTGAAGCCGACTGTAATGCTTGCACCTCGGCGTGTGCAACGCCTCTGGCCACTGGGACCACATGGTTGGAGATGCACCGAGGCACCGTGCGAGCGGCAAGGCACACCATCCCGCGCGGCAGCCGTGACAGCTCCAGAGGAATTAGTACGGACGGAATGGAGCATGCCGAGTGTGTTGCAGCGGCAGCATGGAACGCGCACACAGCCTCACCAGGAGACAGCCTGCCCCGAGCTGAAGTGCTCCGCAAACGGGAGGACCGCAATCATACCCTCCGCCGTGTTTTCTCCATGCTGCTAGAGGTCCGTGCGAAACAGCTTTGTGCCCTCTCGAGCCCAGGCCTGTGATACCCCGAGGCATGGCGGCACCACGTCCCTGCCCTCTGGGATCGGCTGTGCTGCGGTACTCTCGGGACCGCGAATTCGCTCCGCCTCGGCAACAGGCAGACCGCTCTTCCGTCACACCGTCCGAGTCGCACGTGCTGCGATCCCCACTGCGGTCTGCACACTTTGTGCTTGCGTGTCTCTGGTGACTGGAATATGGATTGGCCCTTCACGCCGTATGCGCTTGACTCGCCATCCGCGACTCTTCGCATGGCGTGGCCCCGGCCCCGACAAAATATTGAGTACGTTTCTGCGCCATCTTGTACCTGCTGCCCGCTGCTCGCACTGAACGATTATCAACACCTCCCTCGCCGACGGCATTCTGCGAAGTCCTGGGAAATGGGGACAACATTCCCATCCGCAAACACGGGAAGGACACATGCCGCACAGAGAGAGTTGCCGGCCACTCTCGCTGCTCTCTGTCCTGTTAGGGGTTAGCGCAGGACTGGTCCACCGCCGCCTGTCAGCACTGCTGGCACACCACCGATGTCAGCCTGGATCCACGCCACGACGCACGGCCTCGGACGTGGTGACGCCTGTGAGTGACGGAACGGCACGAGGGCTGAGCGAGTGCATCGCCGCGGACTGCAAGCGGTTAGGGTAGCCACCGAAAATGTCAAGCGTATCAACGGGCAAAAAACGGACAACGCACCTCTGCAAGCTCCAATGACAACCATAGCCCTCCAGCCACTCCGCTACTGCAATCACCACCAGCCGCTCAGCCGCCTGACGGTCCACGGGAGGCCCTGCCGCACATGATGTGGGATAACCCCTCTCGCACGATAGCACCGTTTTAGGCGTAAAAACTGGCCACATATCTACGGACAGTCCTCAGCCTATCAGCGAATATTGGCCGCAACGTATAACAAAAGGAAAAATTTCCTTTATTCTCAGTAGAAAAAAACTTCATCATTAAATTCACAATTATCACACAATGAATTCATTGCGTAATGCCGCTTTGAGCTGCAATACTTCCTGGCATCATCCAGGTCCCTTGTCGAAACATTGATGCAGACAGGCGCCCATCCATTCCTCCCGATGACGGTGTATGTCTGCGACGCACCCTCTGCTCCAAAAGGGCACGTCATTCGCCACAGCCGAGATCAACTTGGCGCTGGCGGCACGCATCACTTTGTCAGAGGGAGAAACGGTACGTCACGGTGACAGCAAAGCACCCGCATGCACAACACATCACAGACATCATCACAAGCAGAAGCACCAGCAGCACTGCAGACCGTGAAGTGATGTGGATCAACTGACGCATGGCACGCGTATAGAAAACCTGGTGGCCCGATAAGAATACAAGAGGGTGACACTTTTGAAACAATGAAACAATATGAGAATATAAGAAGAGAAAATTAAAGTGTTCGCTGTCACAGCATGCCGCCGTTCAAAAAAAAGTGGAATGGGTGCACTCAACCACAAAACAAGCAGAGAATCAAAAAGAAAAAACAAAACAAGAAGCCGAAGCGTGGGACGACCAGCGCACACACTCTCATTGCTCCCGTAAAGCAAAACACACACACAGGGAGAGAGAGAGAGAGAGGTCGCCCACTCAATGCAATAAAAACAAAACAGAAACAGTTACGGTGCTCCGCCCATGCAGCCAGGCAGGACGGCAGCGGTGCGTGTCGTGCAAAAGAGAGCACCAACGGGCCTGCATGGGTGTGCATGCAATATATACAATGGGCACATTATGTGTGTGCTTCGTGGGATGAGGTGAGGACGAGAGTCCATGCAAGGGGACACACACAGAGAGAGTGGGTGAAGGACGGGTGTGTGTGCGGGCGGTGCATGGCGCTCTCTCACTCACTCTCACGCGGTCACCACCGCAGCAGCAGCCGCACACGCAACAGGAAGAAGAAGCAAAAGAGGGGAGGTGGTGTGGGAGACAGCGGTGATGCCGTCACTGTCGCCAACCTTTTCCTTATCGCCGGTTTGGCGTTTTTCTGTCGCGGCGGCATCCGGAGTTCGAGCATCTTCACTTGTCTTCGTCCCTGTGGAGTGCTGCTCCTCAAAAGGGGAAGGTTCTTCGCTTGTAGGTGCCTCAGCTTCTTGTTCTTGACTGCCAGTTGATGTACTCTGCGCCGTAACTTCCGTAGAGGCAGGATATTCCTTATTTTCCTTTTGTAGTTCGGGTAGGTTTGTGAATGTATCCGTGCTTTGGCTTTTATTCGTCTTTTGTTCCGGAGTTAGCATTTCATTTTGGGTTTTGTGCTCCGGCGTTACTGTGTTTGGCACTGTCGTTTGAACCTGTTCACTGTTTTCTGATTCTTTACCTGGACCCCTTAATGAGTCTTCTTTCCCGAGGTTCTCTGGATCCTCGTTTCCAATATTTTCTACTCCCAATGAGGACTGACCTGCTCCACCCTTATTGTTCTCGACAACACCTTTTCCCTCTTCTGAAGCAGAAATGTGTGGCTGCAGCTGCAATTGCGTTTGTGACTGTTGCGGTAGTGGCTGCGGTTGCGGTGGTACATTTACTTGCGATTCTGGCGGTTGCCTTACTTCCTGTTCTTTATTTTGTAATTGCGGCTTTGTTTTTTCTTGATCTGGACCATCTTCCACAGGTTCTTCTAATTGCTCTGAAGGGTTCCCATCTTCTTCATCCTCCACTCCAGGAACAACAACCAGTTGATCAGTGTTAACTTCTTTTCCTTCCAAAGATTTTCCTGCAGGTGTTTCTGTTGATTGATTAGCCTTGGGCAAACCTTTTTTTAGATCTGAGCTGTCTTGTCCTGACGCTGAAGCTCCAGTAGTCTCCACCGCACCTTTACCACCGGCAGGAGATCCCGCCTCCTCCTTACACCTACCGCAGCACCGCACCACAGCACGCAGAGGGCACACACCAGCAGCACACGGCCAGTCATCATCACTCCTGTCACTTGCGTGTAGCCTTCAGCACAAACTAATTCCCCGTCAACGGAGAGTGAAAACAACACGAGAGACAAGTCACACAGCCACTCACAGCCAAAGTAACAAACGGCAGCAGCCGCAGCACAACATGAGGCAGTTGGAATCGGTGCGATTGCAGAACACGCACACAAACACACAGCCCCGCAGCAATGAATCAGCAAGAAAAATAAACACAAAGCAATTTAAAAAAACACGAGTAAAAAAACAGCAATAAATTTTTTAAAAAGGAAAAACCACAAGAGAGAAACAGATGCACCACATGGCTCCAGTGTGCATGCACCAGCGCACACAGACATGCGTCCACGCAAACAGTTGTGGGCGTGTCGTGCATATGAGTGTGTCTGGGACGCGTGCCAAGTGACGGATGTGGGGAGCAACGCGGAGCACACTGCAGGGCAGCGAAAGCAAATGAAGCAAAACACACAATCATTATTTTCTATTAGTTATTACGCAATAAAACAAAAGAAGCGTAAAACATCCCGTGGTTGAGTACAAGCTTTAATAGCCCGCATACACTTCTTCAGCCCAGTGTCCCGTACGTCAGTGCAGCCAGAACGAGCGGTGGCAGGGTATGCAGACGGGTGTCATGGAAGCAGGCGTCAGTTCCCACACTGTTCTCCAGCGCGTTCGTTGGGGGTGCAGAGGAAAGGGGAGCCGGCATGCTTGCCGCCGCAGAATTTCCTTCGCTAGAAGCAGTGTCGGTGGTGTTGGCGGTGTCCTCTTCGGCGCCTCCCGCTGCACCCCCGTCCTCGCCGGTCTGGGACAACTGAGTCGGTGGCGCAGCAGCAGTCTCTTCCTGCAGCTCCACTGGAGGGTCATGGGAGGAGTGGCCGCCGCCTTCTGTGGGCTTTGGATCTGGTGGGGATTCGGGTGCAGCAGAAGTAGAATGTGCAGCGCCTTGAAGTTCACCAGAGAGAGCGGTATCCAACGCTCGCAAGGCCGCGGCAGAAGGATCCGTCGTGGCCGCAGCGCCAGCAGCAGAGTTAGCAACAGCGCCGCCTGGATTTCAGTAG